AGAAACAACTTTTTCAGCATTCAGCAATTTGGCACATACACATGTGACTGTTTAACAAGCCAACAAGCCTATTTTCGCCTTTAACTACAATATTTTTTTTTTTCCAGAAGGAGCAGGAACACTTTGAGAAATGCAGATCCGCAGCATGCGGTGCTACGCAGAGAAAAGGGTGCAATTTGGCCTGTCTCGAGCTATCTTCTGAGATTTACCATCCAACAATAGCCTGATCTATTCTCCACAGTGTTTGAGCATGTGTGTGTGCGCATGCATTTGCACATGTGTTTGTTTTTGTGTGAAATGTTCAGTGGCTCACGTTTCAGTGATGCCTTTCAAAAACCATGTTAACACTTCTTTTTGTTCTTTTTCTTCTGCTGTCTCCTTTAATTGCCGCTCCGCAAATATGAAAGGAAGAAACAACTTTTTCAGCATTCAGCAATTTGGCACATACACATGTGACTGTTTAACAAGCCAACACTGTCTCACAAAGCTTTGTGAATGCAGGGAAGGTGGCCACATGAAGCCAGTTTAGTAAAAAATTGGCCCTTTCCTCAACAGACCTAACCAGAAATCTTAAATATATACATTTAAGTCTACATACCCATCACAGCATCAATAAAATTGTTTTCACTAGGTTTGTGATTGGTTTTGGAAGATTATTTCATTCTTTCAGAGCTACATCATGGTTGTACAGAAGTAAAAACTAAAGATGGTGCCATATTTCCTTGATTATTTTGCTGCTAGGGCATATGGGAGCTCTGAGTAGGTCCACTCAGAGAGTAACTGGACTTAAACCTCCTTCAGCTCATGCCATTTTATCTCCACATGGCCCTGATCGCAACTGGCCAGACCATGGTTCATCTCCAAAGCAAACACATTAGGTAACATTGAAAAATGTCCAAGTACTCTGCAGGTATCGCTTCACCAAACAGAGAAAGAAAGGAAGAATGCTAGAGCTCTCTCTCCACACTAGCGATGACGTGTTAAAATGATTTCTCATCCCTCGGCACAGCAAGCAGGTTTAGAACACCTCAGGGATGAGCAAAGCTTAGTAATGCTGACACATCTAGAACTGTGTCAACACTTCCAGGCTACTTAATTAACATAAAAAGGATGACACAAAAAAAGTGAGGAGAGCCATTAGTGACTAAATTTCTGCTAACAAATACTGAAGTAGCTGAGCGTGGAACGAAAGCATATTTTAGTTGGGGGAGCTAAAGAAAAATGAACTAGATTTTACAGTTTCTGAGGAAAATGTGAATGGTGTTTGCTTGTGCAATTAGTCACCTACATAACACCAGGGTGCTGAAGGTGGTTGCTAAAACTCTGAAAAATGTGTTGTGAAATTAGACGATATAGGATTTAAGACAAAGAAGTTCAATCCAATGAACGGACTTGTGCATCTATACCTAACAGCTTTGTTTTCATTTACCAATATACTGTCAACGTTAATACATTAATGCATGTGATTAATTTTACAATCCTTAACGCATTAAAATAACTTAACGCAATTAACGCAAAATTACTGAAGCACAATTTCTATTCTAACCCTTTAACCCAATTTTGCTTCTCTGTTTGCGATCAGATCATTTTAAGCCGCTAAACTCCGGTAAAGTTTTCAGTCCAACGATCCAGTAAGCGAATGCATTCAAACAAATTGCTGATTATATCAGAGACTGCAGAGAGAACAGAGACTCGCGTTGCGTTTTCAGTGAATTATTCATTCCAGTGTGTTTGGCTTTTAAACACGAGCTCTGTCATATTCTGTGATTGTCTCTGAAGAGCACGAGCTCTCACGCGTCACACGCGCTGTGTGAAGTACAGACTGAACGGATTGTCAACACATCCCATCGCTGTTGCTGTTGCACTGTACACATAGGCTACTATACAATTCTGATTTTTTTTGTATGTTTTTTCTTTCATATGTGCTTATATGGGCTCCTTATATCATTTGGTTCTTTGGTGTCCTTTTGGAGTACTTTTTTGGAAAGACATCTAAATTTATCTTGAAAAAAGCTGACTATTGTCTGTTTTATCATAGTTCAATCACTTCTAAAAAGTAATGGCACACCTCTCAACTACTTCATCTGAGGTCCATAGTACATTTCTAGAGTTTAGAGTTAATTAAGGATTTGTTACTAAATCCCTATGAAATAGTTTAAGATACAGTAATGATTCATTAGAAATAATTCATGAGTGTAAAAAAAACTATAAGTGATATATGAAAAAGAACACCAAAAGAAAGGTGTCTATGAAATAAAAAGAAACCAAGAAAAGGAACTGAACAAGTTGAGAAATATAAGGAAAGATTGAAAAACACTGAACATTTTTATCATTTAAATTCACTGTGGAAATAAAGAGAAATTAGAAAGAGAGTGACAGAAACAGAGATGTAAAGAGAGGAAGACAAAAGCAGCAAAAAGAGGAAGTCTAGAGAAAACACATTTTTGTAGTAAAACAACAGAACAAAAAGAGTAAAGTCCATTTTATACTCTCCTGATTTCTCTAACATGATGGAATAGCTCTGATAATGATAGAAAAACTCTGGAACAAACAGTCCAGGGTGCCAATACACTAACACAAAGAAACCACGGGATCCACACATGAACACACACACACACACACAGGGATTCACATTCCTCATTCATCTTAACTCTTCATCGCCTGCTAAAATAACCGTAATGTTGCCCAGATCTGCTTTGGAGTCCCCCATAAATAAACCAGGAGAAAAAAAGCACTGCATCGCTGTTTCAGCATATAACTTCAATTCCAGCAGAAATGTGAAGAGTGTCACGTCTAATAAAGATCACAGCAGTTTTAACATGCTACAACTCCTCTCTGTTTCTACATCAGGGGTGCTCAACCCTGTTCCTGGAGATCTACCTTCCTGCAGAGTTTAGCTCCAACCCTGATCAAACACACCTGAACCAAGTAATTAGGATTAGGGCTGTGTGATTAATCGAAATCGAATCGAAATCGCGATTTGAGACGTTGCGATTTGAGACTCGAAATGACAGACAATGAACAAAAAAGGTAATTTCCAAGAGCTGCGTCTCCAGCGCATATCAAAAGCTCCCTTATCGGTTCTGTTTTCAGTACTGGAGAATAAAAGATACATTCTTAGATGTTTTTGTTAGTACGTGAACGTTATCTTACACATTTTATCTCCCCAACAGATTAATTTGAAATAAGTTTATAATGCATGTTGGCTATTCCCAATTCAGAAGAGCGCACACACAGCCTGTGTCTGTGAATGCTTCTCATACTCGCTCCTCTCTGCCCCACGCGGCGCGAATCCCGCGTCACGGACGAGCCGTTAATGCTTGCTGCACTCACGCAGCCTGTCTCGTAATGCTCGTTTATACTCGCACCCGGCTCCGCACCGCAAGTCTTCACGAGCGCATCTGGCAGTATGGATGAGGCTTGGCGCAACCTGTGTCGACTCGCGCCTGGCTCTGCGTTTAAAACGAATGTAAATTCAGTCTAACTGCTTGCTAATTTCACTTGGATGAAATGAAACATTCAGCACATTTTCCACTTGTTCTTAAAATCCCAAATACTTAAAATTAATAAATCAGCCTATGTAACATATGTAGTACTTTAATAATTGACTTAAGAAATACAGTTCTTTATTTATAAAAAATAAACAAATATTTTCTGTGAAATTCAGTAATTAAGTTAATTCTTTAAAAGTAGTTATACCATTATAATCTTGCCTGCTGAAAAAAAACCCCAATAGAACCCCTCCCAAAACGCAATAACAAATGTAATGGATTTCAGGGTTATAATTGGAATTTGTTTGGTTTTAATGTAAACTATAATGGTGTCTACTAGTATTTGATAGATTCTATTCGTGGGATGTAATCTGGCAGATGGCAACCAATAGAACAACAGTAATTCCTATTGGAATAATGCCCAAAACAAAAAGGAATTTTGTAATGGTTTAATGGAAACTATAAGAATTTCTGTGATGGTTTCTATTGTTTTTTTCAGCAGGGTAATGATACCCATAATGTGCTGCACATTATTGACAATATTGAGCTGAAGCTTGACTTTGCAAATTTAAAATCGCAAATCAAATCGCAATCGCAATATCTGTCAAAAAAAATCGCAATTTGATATTTTCCCCCAAATCGCACAGCCCTAATTAGGATCTGAAGGAGCACTTGATAATTACAGATAATTACAAGTGTGTTTGATAAGTGTTGGAACGGAACTCTGCAGGAAGGTAGATCTCCAGGACCAGGGTTGAGCACCCCTGATGTAGAAACAGAGAGGAGTTGTAGCATGTTAAAACTGCTGTGATCTTTATTAGCCTGATCTACATTAACCCCGGCCTACAGCAACACCATTACAGTCATCAAAGTACCACTTGTGTAACATTTTCACCTCTTTCAACAATAATTCTCACAGTGATTACTGTCAAACTTCCAAGGTTCCTGTTGGCATGCATATTACCTACTTTTTTTCAGCATCTCACGCCATGAGCACTACATTTTAAAAGGTGTATTCAATAGTTTGTTGCTAATTTTAAAAATGTTACGCATTAAGAAATGAACAGCGTTTTTGTGAAGAGTCATCTGAATAGTACACATGCTAAAATGATGTGACCTGCAATGTTTCACTAAATCACTTTTTTTTTTGGTTAGACAGGTAAGGGAATTAATTATTGTGCAGAGTGCACTCTAAAAAGCACTTGTATTTACAAAAAAATAAAAATTCAGAGACAATAATGTTTGGTAGTAGAGTGCCTACTACCTTTGTGGTATCGGCACTTAAAAACATTTAGAAAAGTAATGCATATATTAAAGACCTACTCAATGCCACTTTAAAATGAAGCAACAAATAAAAATACTTTTTGACACACAAGAGGTCATAATTGTTTAGTTTTAAAGCACTGGACCAGTCTAATGAATCTTGGGACATACAGTATGACCAAGTGCATTAAGTGTTCAACTAGCTGAATTTGAAGCATGAACACGTATTGTGATGTAAATGCCCACCTCACTAGTCAGACCCACTGCCCCATGGATCTTAGCGATGTGTCCCAGCCACCAAGGGTTCTTCTGACCCACATTTCTTAGCGTGGACAGGAAGGGAACGAGAGAGGCGGGGCTTGCCTGAGCCACGTTCACCAACACACCCAAAGCAGTGTCACCTAGATCACTGTCACTGACATAACCAATCAATGATGGCACCAAAGACGACAATACCTGAGGAGACAAAAAGATAAGGCCAAACTTAACCCTTATAATGCATTCAAAATCTGTTTGGAACTACTGTATATATATATATATATATATATATATATATATATATCCTTGCTGTCTATGGGAGTGACAGAGAACTCTCAGAATTAATCAAAAATATCTTAATTTGTGGTCTTACAGGTTTGGAACAACATGAGGGTGAGTAATTAATGACAGAAATTTTATTTTTGGGTGAACTATCCCTTTAAAGCACTTTTACAGTTCTCTGTGAGGGCACATAAGGACATGCTATCTGGCCTCTTGACAGTCAGGATGTAATAAAAATAGTAAAGACACCACAAACACACTCATTTGGTCCTGAACTTTTCTTTCATCAGAGGTCCCTTATGCTTGTAATCGTGTTGTATAAGAACCACAGCACTCTAGTTGGTTGATTTCAGTGCCGCCCACTCATTAACCAGAGCGCCTGGTTCCTATATGAATTTGCAGAGAAAAACTAGTGAAGATAGTAACAGGAGAAAAAATGTGGAGCAGAAGGAAACTCGCAATCATACTCCCGCTATGGACAGTTTATCTAGATTTATCTGTCTGTTATAGCAAAGCAGTGGTGACCTTCAAAAAGAACAGTGACTCACAGAAGAAATACAGATCATCAGTGAAATCTTGTGCTGGTTGACATTCATGTCTGACAAACTGCAGTGACGACTAGAGGCAGATGAGCCACATGGGTTACATGAGCTCTTTTCTCCAGCATGAAATGAATCCAACTACACCCTTTTAGCAAGGATTTGCTTAGTCCTCTCATTTTTCCTTGTGAAACACTTCACCTTTGAATTGGCAGTGGTTGAGAGGACAAAGAGAGGATCTGGTGGAGCTGGGAGGGCAGCAGACAGGACGTCCTGTGAGAAGCAGGATTACCAGCCTCTGTCAGGATGTGAAAACCACTGACTAATCTTAATTAATCCCGTTTGCTTCCAAATCGCTGTATAAACTAGCAGCACTGGGACAGAGAGCGTCTGGGGTATCTACTCCCCCACGTGATTTCTGATGTACTATGAAAGAAAGTTATTGGTGTACCTGTCTATTTGTTTATCTGTCAATCCATCCATTTACAAAGAAAACCTATTATGAATTTCTATGCTAGTCTATGCTGGCAGGTGCTGGTTCAGTGTTGTTCAAGTTGGCAGACTGGAATAGTCACACCGCTCATCAACGGATCCTAGCTGCTGAAGCTGAAATATGACCAGTGACAAGTATTGTTGGTTATGCCAGATAAAATACACTGTATATATAACGTCTGCATGAATGCAAATAAAGAATAAAGAATCAGTATTTCTTTAGATTCATGGTTAGCCTATTAATTGAGTGTCACCAGAAAGTACAGAATTTAGTGTGCTTATTCAAAGTATATGCACATAGATTCTAAACGTAATGTTAAAATAAAGGGGTTGAAATAAAGTTTTAGTAAAAATAAAAATATTTTGCTACTCTGTGAGGCTATAACCATATTTAAGATTAGTGATACATAGGGATGTAACGATTAACTGCGAGCCGGTTGGAAATCGATTTAAATATGTGACGATTCAAATCGGTTGAGATGCTAAACCAGTCGCGATTCATTTAGAGGTAGGAGGTTATAAGAATCCATGTCTGAGGGGAACTTCATGTCTTTAGAAAAGTTTAGATGGTATTATTTTCGTTTCCTCTTGCCTCTGTATAATGCATATTAAAGTTCATAAGTGCAGCGCTGCTTTGTTTACAGCGAAAACCAATGAAACGCTTTAAGCGCCACCTGCTGGCAGAGAGTGAATCTGCGTCTCATTCAGCTCAGCTTTCATGCAGATATTTTTTATGTATAGTTTCACAAAACTGAAGTCAAACCATTCTGTTTCTGCTTCAAATTTCGAAATTATACAATCTAATTTAGATTAAAAACTGCTCATGTTGCATGTATGCAGCATCTTTGTTTGGATCATGATTAAAATGCAGTGGTTGCCTCTAATTTTAAATGGAAAGAGCACAGACAAAGCCTTATTTTGTTTATATGAAGATATTTATTTTATTTGTGTTATTTATTTTATTTGGGGCTTGTTTTAAATTTTCAATTTAGTTTTGTTATTTACATTTACATTATATTTAAATTGTGTCGTTTAGCAGACGCTTTTGTCCAAAGCGACTTACAAATGAGGACAATAGAAGCAATCAAAACCAACAAAAGAGCAATAATATGCAAGTGCTATATTAGTATATTATTATAGTGTTATATTTCAGTTTGACAAAGAAATGTGCAGCATTTTGTCCAAGCAATAATAAAAGGACACATTTAATTTATAATTTGTCTTAAATCTCATTTTATTAAAAAACAATCGTGAATCGAATCGAATCGTGAATTGAATCGAATCGTGAGTTGAGTGAATCGTTACATCCCTAGTGATACAATTAAAGGGTTAGTTCACCCCAAAATGAAAATTCTGTCATTAATTACTTACCCTCATGTCGTTCCAAACCCATCTTCCGCCATTTTGGAGAGTACCCATGAACGTAATCAGCGTTATTTACGCTTAGGGGAAAGCGTGCGTATGCATTGTGATACTCGCTAAAATGGAGGAAGACGTAACTCAGGGGAGAAGAATTGTTGAAAAAATTATGTTATTTTTGTTTTCTTTGCGCTCAAAAAGTATTCTCGTAGCTTCGCAAAACTGAAGTTGAGCCACTGATGTCACATGGACAGTTTTACCGATGTCCTTACTACGTTTCTGGACCTGGGAACATTACAGTTGCGTTGCTGTCTATGCAGGGTCTGAGAGCTCTCACATTTAATCAAGAGCTCTCACATTTCATTAAAAATATCTTAATATGTGTTCCGAAGATGAACGAAGGTCTTACGGGTTTGGAACGACATGAGGGTGAGTAATTAATGACAGAATTTTCATTTTTGGTTGAACTATCCCTTTAAATAATCAGCCATAAAAAATCCCACTTTTTTAAGCACTAATCTGAATATTGGGATGGATTTGGCTTAGGAATGACAATATTAATCCTTGAAAATAGTACCATTTTTAATTAAATTCTCATTTCCTATTTCGGTAAATGTAAATGAAAGGAAATGGCAACAGATAGGCTACATTATTGTAAAATAATGCCTCATAATCTTTCCTAATCTTACTACTATGCAGGCATCCAGTGTGTTCACTGATGAGATGAGTGATATGCATGTGCTTATTGCCCAATGCAAAATTAACTCCTCATGACAGTGCATTCTTCTGACTCCACACATCTGCTATTTGCCAGCAGGCTACCCCTCAATCCCCCTTAAAAGCTTTTCAAAATGTAAAAAAACAGATGACTGGTTCTGTTTCTGCCAAAAGTGTGGTTTCCCCTTTTCTTTTCCTGTAAATTCGTCTTCACTCAGAGCCGGGGGGGGCAAGCAGCTTAGGATGTGTTTTCTGATATTTCCCCATCCATTTGGCGGATACTCAACTATGGTATCGCTAGAGGTGTCAACCATCAAACTGTTTTACCATGTTTGACCTTGTACTGCAGCTGTCTGCTTTAAAATAAATGCTAAATCACTCAATTCATACTCATTTATGTATCCACCCCTCCACTCCCTTGGTGCCCTTCAAATTCTTTTTCTGTTGCCCAGAATAACTCACCTTGACCAGCCTTCATCCTCAAACACCACGTTCATTCTTTCGCTCACTCATTTGTCTCTCTTTCACTCACCAGGGGGTGAAGGTCAGAGATCATCTGCAGTAGTCTGAGCAGGTGCTGTCTGCCGGCCTGGTCCAACTGGGACATCATCGCCGTCAGCTCACGGATGTGTTGATGGATGGGCTCTGGTTGTCGTGGATACACAGATGGCAGCACTCTCCACAGCATGGCATTACCTATCAAAACCAATAATTAATCAATACAGCACACTTCTCTTATGGAAAAATGACCATCGTAGCCATAATTTACGCAAAAATACCATAGTTATTGTTAGTAAAGTAACACACAAACACACAAAAAGTGAAAAACACAATGAATGATGAATTGAACCTCCAGCAAAGTGCAAAGAATTTGGACTGTGGTGAAAATGTGCATGTAATTTCCCCTGCGAAACTGAGTGAGGGCTGATTCATTATTTAAGCCCTTTTCTTGATAAATGCACTGTTGTTGTTGTTTGGATTTTATTGCCATTTGTTTCCTCATTAATTTAGTTGAAAATGCCAGGCCTTGCTCTTTTAGCTGACACACATATGGCAAAAATGATCTCACAGAGTAAAAAGACTTAAAACATAAAGTCGTGATTTATACTAAAAGAGCACAAAGATTTGGAATTAAAAATTAAGTGTAAACAGATAGGTAAATTTAGGTCATTTAAAAGCCATTCTTCATCTGGAAACAATCTATAACTTGGTGAATCTGAGCACAAGAAAGGTCTTGGTTTGCAGTTTGAGGAGCTCCATGAAATAAGTGTAGGAACAGGAAGTGAAAAGACACCATGATGCTAGATCATGGAGTTGAGTTGCGAATGGATGGCACCAGTACCAATAAAATCATAGAAGAGGGTTTCAAGTACCAGTCAGTAACCTCTGAAGTGTGACAGTTATGACAACATGTGGCACATTTCACTACTGCAGACAAAAAAATCCATTTGAAAAACAAATCAGATTTGCATGCTGTGAAAAACAATCATGTAAAACTAAATTTGCAATAGCCCTTTTAAGCAAAGACTGTAGCAAAACTCCAAAATTTCCCTTAGATGCTATGTAATGGGCCGTTGAAAAGTTTACTGGAAGATTATGGTGAACAGACTTTGATGAATTAGTCTACCAATTTCCATGACCGAGCTCTTACTAACACTCTGATTTAGTGTCATGAACAATTTTTACTGATCATTCACTTACCTGCTAAAAGAAATGCCACTTCATCATAAACAAAATATGGTAGGAAACTCCCACCCAACATCAACAACAAATCTAATCTCTGCACTGGCAAGCCATCTAAGTCAGGGCGGTCGGTTAGCGGACATAATTCTGAAAACGAGATGTTTCGTCTGGCTCAGGGGGGACATTTAGGATTGCAGAAGACCTGCCCACCTGTTTCTACACACAGCGGGTGATATTAATGAAGGATTAGTGTTATACATAACCTTTCATAATGAGACAGCTGCGGAAACGTTGCTGGCCCAAGACAGTTAATTGGAAATATCGACATTCACTTTCAAAGACCACATGAGATAAGTCATTTAATCTTTGCCAGGTGTTTTGAAAGAAGGTGTCTTTATAGTTTTAGATAAATTTCAACCACTAACGAGTATAACTAAAAGCAAGTAACCAAAAGTTATAGCCGTTTCCCTAGAGTTTTTCTACATCCATATGTATGTGATCTATGTTTTTCCAGCCATATGAGCAAAGGTTGTGCCAAAAAAGAAAAACACAGCTTATCTGACTATATGTTAATATTATCGTCTGATGTACAGCAGATGTAGATTACTATAGTTTTTTTAAATAGTTATATATATATATATATATATATATATATATATATATTACAAATTGCATTACAAATTGCGAGAGATAGACAGTAACGTAATACATTATGTGTGTGTGTGTGAAAACATTACAGTACATTATTGTAGCAAATAAGTAAGTTATTTAATATATATATTAATTTTTTTTAGAAAGTCAAAAAACTTTTCTTTTTTTTTTTGTTCCATATCATTAAATAAGATCCATTTTTATAATGGACTAAAGCCTAACCAAATAACCAAAAGTCAGGATCTGTTTTGAAAAACAATCAGTTCTAAAAAGGAGAAATTTAGACCACTTCACGGCTGTTTTTAACTGTATAATTCTTGTCTGCACAGCATCTACTGTAAATGTTTCATTGCATCTAGCCTGAAATATTCCTTTAAATCAGCAGTAACACATTTGGTTCAGTACAACATATAACAATGAGCACTCCATGTACAATAAATTACAAAAATTGATTTCAAGGGAATGATAAACATACAGGTGTTCATTTGAATATTTCCTTCCTGCTCAGCCCACTTTTTGGGTTGTAGGTGTGAGGTTGTCATGGATTATACTGTGGATTATACATGGACTTCATTGTCCGAGCTTTGCCGTCAATTATGGTGCAGGTTCTGTTGGAATTTCATGATCAGCACTTTTCATTCCAAGGTGGCAGATTGACGGCATTAGCCAAAGTTGACCTTCCACAGTGTTCCCTTCAGACAACAAGACCAGTCATTCACATTTGTACTGTCCAGTAACCCTGGCCCGAGTTCACATTCAGATACGCCTCCATACTTTTTGCACCAGGCAACAAGAAGTAGACCTTCTCAGTAGGGAACAACATTAATGTGGAAATGTTGTGGGTTATGATCTTTATCAGAGAAAATTCATACAGAACAGAGAATGTGTTGATAAGTAAAATTCTGTTAATGGACTAATGATTAATGTAAAGCTCACATTCTGGAAAGATTTGTTGGCATGCTGATGTTGTCGCAAACCTGGCTGCGTAAGCAGAAAAATCCATCCGTTGCAGTTAAAGGCATTTTGTGTTGCAGACATATTAATGTCGACCTCACAAAGGGTACATGTCATGGGACCTTTCTGTTTCCATAAAACGCCACTTATGCCTGCACATGAAATATATCAGCCATGCATCAGTCCAAAAAGTTTTGAAAGCATCAAATCATTTGCAGTTGGGTGCGGAGTCTTTGTTTCTGAGTAAATGTGCATGACTGTAAAAGTGGTGCCTGTGATTTGCACCAAAATGACAGCAAATTTCTATGACCCAAACCCCAGCACCCCACAGGAAACAAAAAACAGAATCTGAGCCTTTCTGACAAGCATGTTTTCTTTATGATTTATCATCTGTAATAATCAGGACCCATTATTTCTACCCAGTACAAAATTTTAAAACACATTATTCATTAATAAGATGAAATAAGAGACCATGAGAATGAACAAGATGTTTTCGGCGATGTAAAAAAAGTCAAACTAATCAGGATTTTGGGGTTAGGTTTTTGAACAGTGGTCCTAATCGGCAGATCCTAATCGAGAACCGGAAGCATGTCTGGTTTTCCAAGAGTGGGATATGGACTGGAGAAAAGGATTGGGACTAGGAAAAGGAGGGGAGGTTAAGGCTTGGATTTATACCTATTCACAATTTATAACAATTTTAATCACTGGTGGTAACAAGATCACTGTACTTACAGTAGTTGCTAGTAAGTGTTGCTAGATGTGTTTCTGTCACTGGATGCCCCTCCCTGTTGAAAAAACCAGCATATGCTGGTTAGGTATGTTTTGAAGCATAGCAGCTGGTTTGAGCTGGTTTAAGTTGGTCCTAAGCTGGGGTGCATTTCTCAAAAGCAAATATGGTCGTAAAGTATGTCATTACCAATAGAGTTCAACGGAATTAACGGCCATAGTTAGCTAAGATGGTTTTGGGAAATGCACCCCAGGTTATCTCCTGCTCAGGACCAGCTCATAACCAGCTTATAACCAGTTTAAACCAGCTTATAACCAACTAAGGACCAGCTCAAACCAGCTGCCATGCTTCAAAACATACCTAACCAGCATATGCTGTTTTTTTTTTAACAGGGCTGACATCATTGGTAAGCTTAACTTGCCCTAGCTTTTAAAAATCGAATTACAAATTAGATGCACTGCAGGTAAAGACAAGAGATTCTGTCTCACAAGAGCTGGATCCTACGCTCAACTGTCTACACTTCTTGTGGTACAGTAGTTGCAACGTTAGATCTTTGTTAAAATTTTTCAACTTCATCAGAAATATGACTACAAACTTAAGGGCTGGGGGTAGGAACAGGGGTAGGCCTAAAGATTAAGATACAGGTTAGATGAAGGAAGAGGGGTCACAGGCAATATTTCTAACAGACATCAAGTGTCAAGGTTAAAACTAGGAGTTGGATTTCGGATAGAGACTACAGGTTAGATTAGTGTTCTTGAATAATATTTATCAATTCATTTCCCTCTGATTTTAGGGGTAAGTTACAGTAAGGAATTAGGTATTACAGAAATTCCTATGACTTTTCCAAGCCACTATTTCAAAATTCACTGGTACTTTCTCTTTCAGGTTTTCAACTTGTACCTCTTTCACAACATCCTCCCCCAATCTCTCTCTCTCTTTTGCAGGAGCAGTACAACAATTTGCCTACCCATACCTCCAACGAAGAATTTCTCACTGGAGCTAACTCTCTCTCCCCCACCTCTTTCTCTCTCTCTTTCTGAGCGCAATGTTTATATAGACCACAGAGCTCCTCTATCAGGCTCAGTTCCCTTTCAACTGCAGTTCACCAAACAAGCAGGAGTCCAGCCAACCGATTGCTCAGCATCTAACAAGGAAGACCACCAGAGAAAAAAAGAGACAATTATACACAAACACTGAGCCTTGTTCATACTCACACATGGCCAGCATGTCCAAGTGGACATTCCTCCAGGCCATGTGTCTGGTGGTTTCATTGTCCACGGCAGTACCTGAGAATTATGAGGATGATATCGATGTGAACTTTGGACCCAATTATTTGAACGAGATAACTGAGGAGGACCAGATGGAAGGTGAGTAACCAATAAAAATAAATAAATAAATAAATATTCCATTGTGATCAGTACTGTTAGCTGTGAGTTACGGAGACATGCAAGTGGTGACATGACAAATAAACAGCGTGTGTGTGGAAATGTCTTTCAGAGAGGTGTTACATTAGCAAGGAAAAAGACAAAGAAATACAAACAATGTAACTCACTGGGTTCATGTGTTTAAACATTTGTGAATGCAGGAATATTTGTTGCAGTATTTGTTGAAGTGTAACAGAATTCATGTGTTGTGCCATGACATAAACCTTTTGGCATCCTGTACATAAATAACTCACTTGCCATGATAACTTAACATAAAAATGACTATGAAAGGGTGTGTTATATTAGGCTAAGTTTTTATACTTATAACAAAAGCATTACTTGGCTCTTTAGATACATTTTCTAGATTTTTTGTTTTGTTTTGTGTGAGAGGATGCGTGTTATTTTGCTATGTCCCATGCACTGCTCATTAAATTTGAATGATAGTTTAATATTGTCAAATCATAAAATAAAATAAAAAATTCTCCTATTAATATTTTGTTAAATAAGAGATTACTCAATTTGAGTGTATTGATCAGTTGGTAATAAAAACTATATTTTTATTTAATAAAAAAAGAAGAGTTTGTCTCTGTCCCTTGAATGGTTGTCGACCCTGTCGTATTGGGGAAACCACCCCTTTCAGAAAAGGCCATCCACTTTAGTGACATCAGGACAACAGATTTTTTATGTGGAAAAAAGGAAAATAGCATTTCAAAAAGGACATAGCATTCATTTGTAGTTAATATTGCTAAAAACTCAAATTAATGGGGAAAGGGGGATGGGGGGTATATCGATGTGATTGAGGATGTAATAATATTATTTATTATTATTATTTTTTTTTTTTTAAAACCCTGTTTAGGAAAAGGACATCATACCTTTCAGAAAATATAATTAGCATCTTAATTTTGCATTGAAAACGTATTTAACAGTAATATATACAGTATGTCCATGACAGGGTGGACATATCTTATGGTTTATGCTTTGAATAATGGCCCATAGCTATCTAAAAAAAATTAGCTCAGCTAATATGTTTCTATAGTACTTGAGTGTCTACTATTTATGATATGACAAAGCGAAAAAAACAAATTTTTTGAGTATTGTGGGGGTTGAAGGCACACTATGGTGATATTGACTCTATTATAGTTCACAGAGTTCCATAGGACCATGACGCACTCTCCACTGCTAACACTTCAAGCTCAATGGTGTCACCTTAAATACATATAAAAACCATGTCATCTAAACTCATGTTCTCTTTCTACATTCCTCTCCTTTCATTTCTCTTGATTTCTCTCTCAGGGGAGACCCCCACACCTTCCCCTGAACCTTGCAAAGGCCCAGTCTTCACTAAGTGGGATAAGCTCTTCACAATGCTGGAAAATTCCCAAATGAAAGAGAACATGCTCCTGCAGTATGCCGATGATATCACCAAGGTGGAGCTGCAGAGTCTGAGAGAAGAGATGTTACAGTTTGTGGCACAGTACGGCGGCTCTTGCGCATCTGCAGTTGAGAGCTCTGTTCGACGGGCTGGGATTCAAACAGAGACGCGTCTGCAGAACGCGCTAGACCGTGTCCGAGAGGTCTCAGCTGATCAGTCCGCGCAGCATGATGCAGCCCTGCAGCAGCTACTGGCTGTTAGCGTAAACCAGGCTGCACGGCTGGAGCGACTGGAGAACAACTGCTTGAAATGGGGGGGAGGAGGTCTGGCCTCCCAAGCCAAGAGCTTCCAGGCCCGACATCTCATGCAAGAAGTGACGGAGACAGAGAATGGAGGTAGGCTGGAGAAGACTCTGGCAGCCATCTCCAGTGAGCTGCAAACCATCCGGGAACAGCTGACCCTTTACACCAAATCAGTCTTTGTAAACAGCCTTCCATCAGGTGAGACATCTAAACTATAGAAAGCAAAATTAGTCAATATTTTTACTACTTTACTGAGAGGCGCATAGAGCAAAAAAATTGAAAAATTGAAGCAAAATGGGTATACTGGAATTCAAACTGGATTCAAACCTCAGAGTGTTTAACTATGTGCAAGAAATGGCACAGATAACAGACCACACTGTGTATAGAAAGGTTAAAACGCACATGTAGATTTATGCCATAGGACCTAAACAAAACATCATGCACCAATTCCTACCAATTACTTTGCAAGTATGTTGCTTTAAATGAGTTATTCTTCTGAGGTCAGTTTGGATAGGACTAAAACAGACTGCCACGGTGACAATTCTGGTTTGGTGCTGTAAATTTTGAGCTGTAAATCTGCGATTTATGCAAACCACATGGTAAGATCAAACCACTAGCCAACTAAGCTGACTAAAACAAACACAAAGCATGTCAACTCACACGACCTCTGAGCAGACCACCATCACCCCAAGTTAGGAGGTTGATACCCCCAAAATCTGATAAATGTTTAACCCCCAAAGACATTCCCCAAGCTCCTACTGAGTTGGGAAACAAACTTTGTTCGCATCAAGAGAGCTTTCACCTTGTCAGTAAGCCGGATACAGTTTCTAGTCAGCTTAAGCTAAAAATGATTTAATCTGCGAATGCCCATGCCTTCTGCATTAAATAGCTTTGTAGATGTAGAGTAAATGAAAGACACAGAGGGAGGTATAATTATGAACAGCAATGCAGGGCGACCACACCAAAGCATCCAGGGGGGAAAACAGAACCAGATGAGACTGTTTAGAGAATGACTTAGCCTTCCTCCATTCTCCCACAGCAGGAAATCCAAGACAAATGTAATGAAAATATTGTAAGCTACGGTAGGATAGGAGAGCCGTGGCCTGTCATAGCAAAGCAATCACCCACAGGAGAGAGAATGTACCAATCCCATTAACCAAGCCCCCTTCAATCCCTATCCGTTTTACAAGCCTTCCACTGTAATTGAGTTTCTTCTGGTTGAAGGTCCTCTCAAAGGTTATGCCAGCTAATCGTGCACAAAACTGACCATCTGTATAAAACATGCTCATGCAAGCATGAACTTATAAAAGACAACTGCACAGGGACGATCATGGTTGGGTTATACCTGATCATTTAGCAGTGAATAAATACTTAAAGCACAAGAAAAAGAAGTCTCTTGATCTTTGTCGCTCTTTGGGAGGCTCAGCAGAAACAAATCCTGGACAGGATTCACACTTTGTGATGAATCCTCCTTGAAAGTTTTTTGTAAAGGTTAGATAGGTTAGACAGATAAAATCACAAGCCTTCAGTGATGCAATCGTATGTACCTATTGATGGGTGGAGTGGTGTAGTGGTTCTCCCTCTGAAATAAATAGGGTAACAGACATCATAACAGATCAATTCTGTTCCTTCTAAAAGCGGATAATCAAAGTTTGTTAACACTCTCCCTTTCCCTCTCTCAATTCTTCTTCCTTTCCAGGCTGTGACACTGGGCTGCTCTTCCCCACACGTTCATCTACAGCTCATGTTGAAGTCTCACCCAAAACACCCTTTAAGACCAATGCCGTCACCATTTGCCTGTGGGTGAAACCAACTCAGGTGCTCAACAAGACCATCCTCTTCTCGTACAGTACAACTGGCAATGCCTACGAACTCCAGCTGGTGTTGAATGGACAGAATGTCTTCTTTACCGTCGATGGTGAAACCCATTTGGTGCAAGCTTCAGGGGCAGCTCAAGAGGGTCAGTGGGTGCACATTTGTGCAGTCTGGAGTTCACAGCAGGGCTTGGTTTCACTGTGGGTGAATGGTCAACAAGCTGCAAGCTCTCCTGGAGTGGCCGAAGGTCATGAGTTACGCAGCAAAGGAAGCATACTATTGGGGCAAGAGTATGGACGTTTCTTCAGGCATCTTAGTATCCCCGACACATTTGATGCGGAGCTGGCCTTCACAGGGAAGATGACTGGAGTGAACATGTGGGACCGCGTTTTGGATTCAAAAGAGATATCTCAGCAAGCGCGGCTGGATGGGAATGGTTGTGGTATCCGTGGTAATGTGGTGGCATGGGGCGTTTCTGACATTGAGCCAAAAGGGGGTGTCAAATTAATATACTAAATTTCTCTACTGTCTTAACCACCTGAGCCCTGTATACATATCAGCTGAGCTCCTACAAGCACATATTAAGAACCTGCTTTGCTACACCTGCACAAAACAATAATTTTCCTCTCCTTAAATGTGCAAAAAATGCTCCCTCACAGGGAAAATGTGATTTAGCAAGTTACAATAGTTAAACTGCTGCCATTGGAGGGACATTATATCATATATCTTTTTTATTATTATTACAAACTGTTCTGTTTTACAAGAATGTTTAATACAAAATGGAGGGATTTAAAAAAAATATATATGTATTATGTATCGTCAAACTATTTATCTTGATTGGTAATGTTTACATTCAGATTTTACTTAATTTTTAATCTATTTGTAATGTAATACTTCAGTCCATTGTTATTTTTATGCTTTTTTTTCAAACTATAGGCTCTGTTACATATCTTGTGATGGCCATTTTAAAATATTTTGTTATAGAGTTCTGTATGTTATAGAGTATGTGAGTTCTGCTAATTAATAACTTTTTTGTCTTTGGTTTGTATTTTTACCACAAGATGGATGTTATGTTTTGATGACAGAACTGTGGAAAATGTTTACAAATTGTGACTTTATTTTTATGTTTCCGCTGATGTGATTAAATGTATTATAATGTTTTTTTGTTGTTGTTGTTAAGAGGCTAAGATGAATGTATAATGTACATAGATATTTTTCTGAGGGTTGGGGAAAACAAACCATAATAAAAATGTAAAACTAAAAATAACAAAAACATTGTCATTCAGGATCTGTTGAATGAAAAAAGATCAAGAGGTGAGTGTTTCAGTTAATAGCGCATAACAGTTAATTGTGATATATACGTTATTTAGTGATTCAATACATTATGATGGATAATTATTCCATAACCAACAGCCAAATCATTCTTAAATTAAAACTATGTAAAGAGTTTACCAGTGAGACTGTGAAAAATGTCAGTAAGTGAGTGTGGCTTTGTCCCAAATGCTATCCCATATCTGTAAAGTCAGCGAGACTATAGGTTACTCCATTCCCAACCCCTTTGCAGCCGCTATGAAAGTGAGGACTCAGATAAGAATCACAACAGTTTAAAGGTATGGTTACATTTAATATTGTTACACAACGGATTCAAGTTAGTCATACAGATTAACCAACAAAAAGTTGCTTCGTTTGAAAGCTGAAAATTCCGCTGAAATTTTGCTAACATGACTGCACCCTAACATAACATTTGAAACAGGGTTAGTGAATCTCGAGTATCAGTTTTAATATCTCTTGGTTTGCCTCGCTCTCTTTTTTAATAGAAAAGACTTACAGAATCATGTAAAAGTGACCTTTTAGTTAATGTCAACATTAAGCAACATTAAAAACCCTCTTTCCTTCCACCCTGTGACATATTTGAATAAAATGTTAAATTTAAAGGGAAAAAAATACACTAACAAAAGATAAGTTGCTTTGGTGGCAGAGCAAGTGAGTACATTTTGATAAAAGATTATGAGGACAAACATTCTCTTTTTCTTTGGAATATTATGCTCAATAATAATGATGAGACTTGTACAATAAGATTGTGTATTAAAAAAATCCAAGTAAATCAGTTAATCGAAAACAAGACAAAACAGCACAGGCCACATTAAGCGTCTGGTATTTTACACGTGTAACATGCGACATAACCAAGGATCTGGATGACACTGGTCATGGGTCAGCATAAAAGAGGAACAAATCATTGGCTTTGCAAAAGCACTCAGGCCTCAGACTGATTAGTGGATCCAGATGGTGGAAGGGAGACTACATTCTTGAAGGGATATTACTAATAATGAGCATTGCTGGAGGGAGTTTGGGAGCCATTCAAAAGCTTTAATGTTTCAAAGATGCTTCTCTACCTTTCCTGCTCCTGTAGTGAGTGTACACACCAGGGGAGCTGTGTCTCTAACACACTCCAGACCACTACAAACACTCATCGTACCGCCGACGTGACTTCAACATGAGACCCCTGTGTCTACATACTAAGGAAACATGAGAGCTCATGGTGAAACACCTACGTAGCTCAGCAAAACATTTTAAAGAGACTAAGTGATTGTTTAAGTTGTTGACTGTCCTGCTGAAAAGAGCAGCATACACTATCTGTTGTCATGGTGGTGGTGTCACAACTAGTCTTCTACACTAATCAAGTCAATATGGTATTTTGAGTAGGGTTGTTTTTTTTTTTACCACCAGTAGCCATTAAGTCATTGCTGAAGTAAAGTTGGTCATGGCCTTCTTTTTCTTTACTTACCATTTTAAATGTTTGATTTTCAAAAAGCCATTTTTCAGAATGAGCCTGGCCTGAGCATTAAATAGACCATGGAAATTGTAATTTAATTGTCGTACCAATGAAGTAGTTGTTTCTATGAATCACTGCTCTACCCTTCCCTTTGTATTGTTCAGCGTTTAGAACCCCTCGATGGTACCCCACAAAACCTAACCTGAACCCCATTACCTCACCACACTTCCTGCTTCACGGACTATGAAGAGGTTGCACATTATTGGTTGTCTGTGAACCCATGGGAAGTAGGACCAGAGTGGTGTTAATGAGAGAAGGGGAAAGGAGACTGATTAGAAGGACAGACCCCAATGGGAGGCTTGAGGAAGGACAAGTTTGAGCTATTACGTTAAAAAAATCCAATAAGCTGGTCCTCTGTAGTTGCTCTGCTATAATGCATGGCATATGTCGCGGATATATCGGTATCAGCGAATTTGCTGCCGATATGAAATTTTTTTTTTACAGAACATATAACGCAGATAAAAAAAGCAAGACAAAACAGTAAAAAGCACATTTTGGCTTTTTAATTAATGCAATGGTGAAAAAAAAATTGCCAAATACATGGGGAAAAAAACTAGAAAAACCGTATTTGGTATTCGGCCCAGTGTTTAATTTTGTTCGGTTTTGGCTTCGGACACAAAGAATATCGGCCGATATACCGATATCGGTATCGGCCCCAAAAAACCCATATCGGTCGGGTTTTAATGCTTATACTGGAAATAAAGATTACTGATGTAAGTTAAACCAAGTATTGCAATATCACATTGCAATGTGGAAATGTAGACCAATCACTGAAATGTAGACCAATTCCTCGAGAGTGGAAGATTCTGGTGTTGTTCTTGTGTCTTGTGCTATGTAGATTTTGAGAAAGAGTGAGTTGGGTAAGTGCTCTGTTTTCTATATCTAGGCTGGATTCATTCCAGAGGTTCTGCTAACTCGCGTATCGGCTTTCTTCTCCCACTCAGCCCTCTGGAGTGCTGTGATGGTACAAGATGTAATCAAAGGAGGCCTGAGAGCGTATTTACACAATGCATAGGGCATATGGAAACCCAAACATTTCAATGCAAGCTGCTTCGCTGTAGTGGTCAGCCAACTGTTGACTGTACCTCAGGCTCCAAAAACCTGAGCAACTGTTGAGTGGAAGTTGTCATGACAGTTTCAAAACTGAGAGTTACGTAACCAGTTCTTGGATGGACACGATGGTCAAGCAGCAAGCCCAGTTTTAAGACAATACACTTCATTTAGATCTCGAACCCCCATGAACAGTTGAATAATACAAATTAAAACCAAAGAGGGACCTTCTTCATCTGAGGCAATGATTTTTTGTGTTGGCAAGAAGCATGTTGAATGGAATGTTGAATGGAATGTAGAAAGTAAAATGAGGAACCTCTCTGTAAACCACTGTGGCATGATTGGATGGATATTTGGTTCATTTGCTGAACAAACAAATATCTCAAATAATATCTCAGGTCTGTGGTAACTATTTTAAAGGTCCCATATTGTCAAAACTGATATTTCCTGGCTTTTTTCATGATATGTGTGGTGAAGAGATTGAACCAGGAAGCCAAAAGAAAAGGGCTGATGGGGTTGCTCTCAGGCTATTGTGATTTTGCAGTGCCATGCTCACAACAAATCAAAAATGGCATATCAAAGGACGCCAGTGTTTGTAAGGTTCAATATTCAGGTGGTGTTTTTTTTATTTGTAGATCACACAGTCTCTTCCCTCAAAATGGGTGCTTTTTGGCCAGAATAAGAACAAGCATACCAGACTTTATGCAGATAGTCAAAAGATTATCTATCACTTTTTCCCTGAGTAATGAACATGCCAGGTGGTCGAATAGAACACTTACAAAATTTTTCCAGGTAATCTCTTTAAGAGGGAGTATCACTTGTAGCTGTCCGACAGTAAAAAAAATTTGATCCAACTCTAAGAAATTATAAAACTGTTGCAGAATATAAAGATATCAGATTTATGTCCTTATCTGTATCATGACCAAGCTTTACCAACATTTCTGTGTTTCAGTATTTATTCTGTGGCTCAGTTAAAAGGCATTTACAATATTGTTGTCCTTTGGCTGACCCAAACTACAATATATGACAACGAACTGAGGTCAACGTAAATTTGACCACACTGTTCCCTAATGAAGCCATGTTTGTTTTTCGCCTCTGATGACTCTGGCCAACAAACTCCCCAATCGACCCTTCCTTTATGACAGAGTTTTAACACAAGAAGTAGAACCACACCAATGAGATCTTTATCTTCGATGGGCAACAACTTGCGTGAGTGGAGTGTTTGAACAGCTGACATGATAGTGTATCTTGGCACATACACCATGTTAAATATACCATCCATTCCTTGTATGACTCGTAAAAAAATGCTAATCTTTCATTCAAAAAACACTCAATAACATGTACTTCAATCAATTTAGAAGAACAATGGATGTAATAAAGTTTGTTTCATTGTGGATGTCTCAAATGACCCATTTAACTGTGTGGTTTTGGGACCAGAAACCAGAACCACACACTGCGGGCCAGGAAGACCACATGTCATCTACACTACGCCAATGCTGTGCACACTAGTGCTGTGGAAACTAAACAGTCACTTGTCTCTGTGTGTGGATATTCTTATAAAGACACAATAGGACTGCTTCTCTAATTACCACAAAGGCAATGAGGTGCACAGTCTGGAAAGCACTGAATCATGGGGAATATGATTGTTTTTTACCTTCCATGACTCACCATTCTATTCTACTGTGTAATCAAATACAGCATACGGTGACGTTGACTTTGCCAAGTAGGACGTGTTCCTGGATCAACATCTGTTGTTGGTCCTGGAACAATATTCTTGTCAAACAAACACCGCCATAAACCGAACAATTTACTACCCCAGCACTAAACCCAATGCTACACCTAACAATGTTTCCTAACTAGGAACAATGCGACAAGTTTGTCTGTCTAGAATAAATGTGAAACTGGTGTACCATGATACACAGCCAATCAGAAAATATTTAATGTTTATTCAGGGCGTTCTTACTCCTAACTTGTCACATACCGACCCTCGGCATCACTTTTTAACGCTCAGGGTACCCCTTTAGCATCAGGTCATGACGCATGTGTAAAAGTATAAATTTTATTTTAAAAAAATGTAAAGTGTATAAATATTCGTACTTTCAGAGGTATTGGGGCATCTAACCCCACTCCTATCCTAAACCAATCCACTTCTCAACAACATAAACACTTAACAGGCAAAATCACAGGTATGTATTGTATAAATATTTATTTACATATACCTGCAAACTCACAGGAGGTGAGAGAAAAAAAGATGACATAGTTCGGAATATAACCCTTGTGGGGGGGTCTGGAGGCATCCCCCCAGAAGAAAATTTTTGAGAATTTAACATGTACATGAAGCGTTCTGGTGCACTCTGACAACAAAATAAAGGAAAAAGACAACATAAGCTTCAAGTAAAAAAAAAGCACATTTATACCACAAACATTTTGAAAAGTGCAACTCTGTTGTCACCGGTGTTCATACTTCTCTTTGTGAGCAGTGGAGTAATTTATTTTTGAAAATTTTAATGTTCACATTAGAGTGTGCATACTATCAACAAACTCCATCTTTTCACTGCAGAGGAAACAGAAGCTGCACCTGAAGTGTCATTACATGTATTTACACAGACAGTTTGATGAAGCTGAGGTGCCATAAATGCATTTACACCACAACATTTCAAATGCATAAATAATTTTATAAGACTAATATTTTAAATATTTTTGAACATACAAGTTAAATATATTGGGAAAAATGCGATACTTATAAATATGAAACCAAACCACCAGTAGATGATGGTAAAAAAATTTTAATGAGCGAGTCATTAGTCATTTATTCAAATGGCTGATTCATCCAAAAACGAGGCAAGTCACTACTGTCTTTATGAATGGGTTACTGAATCATTGACTCACTTGATTCGTTCAAAAACGTGGATTCATTCAGTATCGAAACACCGCTGTGTTGCTCGGAGACACACAACAGCTCTGCTGTGGCTTTGATTGAAACTTTGTCAGCGAACTTGAGCAAAAACAGTCAATATTGTATTACAAATTGCGAACTTTTTGTCTGTTTAACTCACACTGAAGAACTTCCACGCCGACGACATGTTTACATGCGGATGTGAGCATAAGTGTGCCGTCAAAACGGACCGGCTGTGAGATGAGATGTGTTCGATTTGAAGCAGCAGCACGCAGACCGATCGCACATCAAAGTACCGCGAGAGCGATTCGAAAGCATGCGGAGCCATCTGCTCTCTTAGCTCTCGCGGTGCTTTGATGTCATACAGCGATCGGTCTGCGTACTGCTGCTTCATGTCGAACCGAGAAAGGGACTTTGGTCGAACACACTCCTGTCTACGAGCTTGCAATTTATCTCTCTCTCTCTCCACCCAGACCCAACCCCAACCCAAAAAAAAAAACTCTTTGGATCTAGACGATTCACATAAATGACATATTTTGATTCAAAACGGCGAATTCTGCCGAAAAGCGACTAGTTTGCAGGCATGTTTACAGGTATTTATTAATACTCCAATATGTAATTTCATCATAGCGATATTCCCATGTCCATCGTGTCTGTGTATGCTGCCAAAGGTTTCTCATTGAAAGAAATGGAGCACACTGCATATCGAAAAACGGCGCTAAAAGTGTACCCTGGGCGTTAAAAAGTGACGCAGAGGGATATTGACCAAGTGTCAAAATGTGACAAATTGGGAGTGAGAATGTGTTGGTTTATTGTAAAGTTATGAAGAGGGACAAATGAGATTTCAAGATGGGCAGAGTCCCCCCCCCAAAAAAAACCTCTTCGAATCTAAACGATTCACATAAATGACATATTTTGATTCAAAACGGCGAATTCTGCCGAAAAGCGACTAGTTTGCAGGCATGTTTACAGGTATTTATTAATACTCCAATATGTAATTTCATCATAGCGATATTCCCATGTCCATCGTGTCTGTGTATGCTGCCAAAGGTTTCTCATTGAAAGAAATGGAGCACACTGCATATCGAAAAACGGCGCTAAAAGTGTACCCTGGGCGTTAAAAAGTGACGCAGAGGGATATTGACCAAGTGTCAAAATGTGACAAATTGGGAGTGAGAATGTGTTGGTTTATTGTAAAGTTATGAAGAGGGACAAATGAGATTTCAAGATGGGCAGAGTTACCCAAGTTAACTTTCTCCTGTGGAACACAACTTTTTTTTTGAGCATTCAATGTCTATGAATAGTCACAAAAGCTGGTTACCAACATTCTGCAAAATATGTTCTTTTGGAACAACATGAGGGTAAATGATGAGTATACGATGACAGAATTGAAGCATCCCTTTTAGTAGTGCTGGGCGGTATACCGGTTCATACCGAATACCGGTGTTTATTTTTGTTATGATATGAATTTTTAAAATACCTCAATACCGGTGGTGTATGTCACTTAAACAACTTTCGGAACGCGACACTGTTTGAAAGGGGTCCCTTTTCACTGTTGCACTGTGGATTTTCTTATATTTTCTTATAGATTTTCTTGAATTATTATAAAGATTATTCAAATTAATACGCATGGATGACAGTTGATTACAATAATATTTCAGTTTATTTCCATCATTAGTAACAGTTTCCCCTGTGGGACAAATAAAGTTAATATTAATCGTATATTAATAATAGGCTACTTCATTAACTTTATTTACTATCTCTGTTGTAGTATTATTCATAAATAAAAACCAACAAGATTTTTTTTTTCACCATGTTTCCAAATTCTCTACCCCAGGTCCAAAAGAAATGTAAAGATTGTGTGAAAAATACCGTGATATAATTTTTTGGTCATACCGCCCAGCACTACCTTTTAGCTATCGTCAAATGTTTCTTTCGCTTACAATTGTGGTTGGTTAGGAAAAGACCTCCGATTTAAATTGAAGAGAAAGATAAAAATAAGATAAAGGCCTTTCATCACTTGTCACTTTAACACGCAGTGCCTGGTTAGGACACAATGTGACTAGGGATGCAGCGATTAACCGCGCTTTAAAACGTCACAGTTAATTAATCGTAAAGGTTCCGCTAAACTGAGTGTTTCTGTTACACGGAACGGAACTGTTGCAGCTTGCGCAAAACGAAAACAAAGTTACACTAGCGGTGCACCAGCTTA